TAAAAAGTTGTATCGAGAAAGAATAAACTGGTTTTAATTAAGAAAGAATTTGTATCGCTGAAGTTCCTCGGAAAGAATTTATACTGGAAATGGACAAACGAGCAGATACGTAACAATATAAAGTTAGTAAATAAGGCTAGAGTTACCATAACAACATATAAGGTTAGCGTTACTATAAAAATACATAAGGCTAGAGTTACCATAACAATATATAAGGTAAGAGTTACCATAAAAATACATATGGCTAGAGTTATCATAATTATATGTAAAGTAAGAGTTACCATAAATATTCATAAGGCTAGAGTTACCATAACAATATATAAGGTAAGAGTTACCATAAAAATACATAAGGCTAGAGTTATCATAATAATATATAAGGTAAGAGTTACCATAAATATTCATAAGGCTAGAGTTACCATAGCAATATATAAGGTAAGAGTTACCATAACACAAACATAAGGCTAGAGTTACCATATCAACATATAAGATAAGAGTAACTATAACAACATATAAGGTTTGTGGTAGCATAACATGGGTAATTACGATTAACCAGCCATGATAAAGTGTTTTAATTAAACAAAATTAAGTGTAGTTATTATTAATTTAAATGTTCCTAAAATACAACATTGTGTTATAGCTGACCAATACGCACAACAAGGTACATTGTGTTATAGCTGACCATTACGTGCAACAAAGTATATTGTGTTATAGCTGACCATTAGAACAAGGTACATTGTGTTATAGCTGACCATTACGTACAACAAGGTATATTATGTTATAGCTGACCATTACGTACGACAAGGTACATTGCGTTATAGCTGACCATTAAGTACAACAAAGTATATTGTGTTATAGCTGATCATTACGTACAACAAGGTATATTATGTTATAGCTGACCATTACGTACAACAAGGTATATTGTGTTATAGCTGACCATTACGTACATTAATTTCATAATAGCTTTGTTACGTACAGTAAATGTGGAGCATTACTAGTTCAGTGTAAAAAACAACAGTCGGTTTAATTAAAAGTGTAGGATATTTTTGAAACACGACTGTAACTTGTAGTTAGAGTAATTCATTCATTTTCAAATAGAACATAATAAGGGAGGAAGTCACGAAGGTGTTCTAACCTGGAACTTTTATTTTATTTCCATCTGCTCACTCGGGAATTAAATTACAAACTGGTGTTCATACGAAATCTGTTTCAGTGTGTTGTTAAATCGGTTGTTATGGAAACCACGTGTATGTTTGGAAAGCCTGCAAGAGTAAAGAAAATGTATAGACATGAATTCTTACATGTCACTCACGTAATAAATCAACAAAGACGTAGTTCAATTAGACTGTAATCTTTTTATTCTAAACATAAGAAAAGTTTAGTATTACCATAATACATTGGTAAATATTAGTTTATCATTATACAGTAAGGTAAATATTAGTTTATCATTATACAGTAAAGTAAATATTAGTTTACCATTATACAGTAAATATTAGTTTATCATTATACAGTAATGTAAATATTAGTTTATCATTATACAGTAAGGTAAATATTAGTTTATCATTATACAGTAAGGTAAATATTAGTTTACCATTATACATAGGTAAATATTAGTTTACCATTATACAGTAAAGTAAATATTAGTTTATCATTATACAGTAAAGTAAATATTAGTTTATCGTTATACAGTAAAGTAAATATTAGTTTACCATAATACATAGGTAAATATTAGTTTATCATTAACAGGTAAATATCAGTTTACCATTATACAGTAAGGTAAATATTAGTTTACCATTATACAGTAAGGTAAATATTAGTTTATCATTATACAGTAAGGTATATATTAGTTTACCATTATACAGTAAGGTAAATATTAGTTTATCATTACCAGGTAAATATTAGTTTATCATTACCAGGTAATATTAGTTTACCATTATACAGTAAAGTAAATATTAGTTTACAATTATACAGTAAGATAAGTATTAGTTTACCATTATACAGTGAGGTAAATATTAGTTTATTTTTATACAGTAAAGTAAATATGTCCAAAGAGATTTGGACATGAGAAATAGGTTTAGTAAGGAGGTAGGACGAGACCTTGGCCAAAATTGTGGAAGACTTGCCCAATTATTTTATAAGAATACTCCTCGTGAAATGGTCGATTTGT